GAGAGCCAATAATGATAAAATCTTTAAAGCAGCCAGAGGAAAGACCCATTAAGTTTATAGGAACAAAGAGTAAGCATAATGTTCTCATTAGAAACTGTGTGAGCCAGAGGACAATAGGATGACAAGTGTTACCTTTTTAGAAAGGCCCTCCCAGGTTCTCCTGGCCTAGATCAAACCCCCCTCCCCTTCCTGAAATGTTCAATATTCCGTTTTGTTTTTTTCCCATGACTGAATCATTAACTGACTCATGGATTCTCTCCCCTTTACAATGTAAGCTCCCAGAGGGTAGGATCTTTATTTTGTACACAGCTTTTTTTTATCCCCAGTGCTTAGAAGTATGCCTGGTATTTAGCGGGTGCTCAAGAAATACAAACAAGAAGAGGAAAAGAGCCGGGGGAACAGAGGAGGTAAAGCAGGAGAGTGGGAGAATTGGGAGGACATGCCATTGAACTTGAGCTTCATCCTGTGGGTGGAGATTCTTACACAGAGGAGTGTTAATATTCTATTTTCGTTGTAGATAAATTACTCTGGCATCCTCTTGTGCCAGAGGGTTTTAAAAAGGGTGAGTTTGAGATCAGGTAAAAGGTAAGAGATGGTGCAGACCCATTGTAGGGTTCCAGCAGCGAGAATGGGCCAGATCTAGAAAGCTGAGGTGGCAGAGCAAATAGGATTTAGTGACCAGCTAAATGTAAGGAGTGAAGGGAGAAGTTTTGACATGTGTGACTGGATAGATAAGGAATGCAGGAAGCAAAATAGGTATCAGAGAACAGAGAGGAGGTATTAGTTATTTGTTGCTGACAAATAAGCAGCTTAAACTCAGCGCTCAGTTTCATACTTCCTGTGGGTCAAGAGTCTAGGCAGAGTGGATTTGCCACAGGTTCCAAGTCTCTTACAAGGCTACCACTCACAGGTTGGCCAGGGACGCCGTCACACCAAAGCCAGGCTAGTTGACAGGTTCTCCTCTGAGTTCACTCACAATGCAGGCCTCAGGTACCCCCTGGCAGGGGGTGAGAGAGGACAGACAGTTCCTTGCCATCTGGATCTTTCCACAGAGTAACTCACCCCCTCAGAGTATGAAACACACTGAATCGAAGCCACAGGCTTTTTTGGTAACTTAATATTAGAAGAGACTGCCCATCATTTCTGTCCTACTGTCTGTTAGAAACCAGTTAGTAAACCACACTCACGTGGGTGGTTACTGAGTGATGGGGCAGGGGAAGATACAAAAGCATGGGTCTCAATGGAACCATGTTAGAGACTGCTGGCCACAAAGAGTGGTTTGAATTTGAGGAGCTGAGACCTCTCAGTTGGTAATATCTGGATGCATCTGGAAGACTATGTACCATTGGACTCAGAATGTAGCTTGGAGACTTTGAATGGATTTAGAAAATAATGGCTCAGAGCCCTTTCTCCCCAACTTCAAACCACAATTTGAAGCTTCTAGAGGTAAACAGGGAAGGACAGATTGCTTTTGATGTGTGTGTGTTGGTACTGGGGTTTAAACTTCAGTCCTTATGTTGTTCTTCCATTCACTGGTGTTCTACCACTTGAGCCACACTTCTACTTATGGATTTTTTTTTTCTGGCTAAATGAAGATAAAAGTGTTGAGAATGTGTCTTCCTGGGCCAGCTTCAAGCCATGATCCTTAGATCTCACCCTCCTGAGTAGCTAAGTTTATAGGTGTAAACCTGTAGAAAGGTATTTTTTTAATCCCCCAGGATGCAATGCAGGTAGGCAGGGGATTACTCAGAGAGGCCGAGTACCATAGAATTGAAAATTCTGCTCTTCTACTGACTGTTGGAGAAACTTAGAGAGAGAAGCCTTCTCCTAAACTACAGGTTTCTGGTCTGACTAAGGTGGGGTTTAGATTAAATTGTGAGGATTTTTTTTGGGGGGGTATTGGAGGGGCAATAAGGTTTTGTTTAGTATATAAAGATAGTTAAAAGTTGAACTGATCTAGCTAGCTTCCTCCTTGCTTCACCAGAAAAGAACCTCATTTTGAAAATCAGTAGACAAAGTAAATTGCTGATTTTTTCCCCTAATTTGGACATTATGGGATTTAATGACAAGATAACTCTAGTTTTGCCCTTTTTTGTTGATTTGTTTTGTTTTGGGTTGGTTATAGGGCTTGAATTCAGGGCCTGGGCACTGTCCCTAAGCTTTTCTGCTTAAGGCTAGCACTCAAACACTTTGAGCGACAGCTCTACTTCTGGTTTTCTGGTAGTTAATTGGAGATAAGAGTCTCACTTACTTTCCTGCCTGGGCTGGCTTCACAGTGCAATCCTCAGATCTCAGCCTCCTGAGTAGCTAGGATTACAGGTATGAGCCACTAACACCTGGCTCTAATTTTGCTTATTGAGATCTGTTGGCACTGGAATACTTCATTAAGATTTGAGAGGAAAATAATTCATATTTCCTTGAACTTGTGAACAAATCCTTCCTGAAATGCCTGCTATGTGTCAAGCACTATGTCAAATAAACATTGTCCATTGCAAGGCCTCTATTGGATCTTGTCAGTCTTGCTGGAGTGTGCACTCCAAAAGAGTAGGCGCTTTGTCTAATGGACTGTGACCTTGCCAGCAGCCAGCATGGGCCTCCTGGGCCTTAGGAAGAATTCAGTACATATTCTTGCTAATGAATCGAGGTTTAGCAAACATTATCCACATGCTCATTTTACAAATGCCAAGGCTGGGACTTAGAGCATCCAACTCACTTGCTCAGTCCACACGTTAAAGGAAGAACCAGAATACAGATAATTCCTGTGACTCCAACACACACAGCCATCACTTCTTGTTGGTGGAAATGGTAGGAAAACAGAAAGGGAACAACACACACATTGGTTACCTTCTACATGATGAATGGATTCCTAAGATACTACTTTGCATGCTCATTACCAGTGTTCCTGCAAGGCAGCAACATGATGCTCATCTTTCATATCAGATAACTGAGGCTCAGAACGGCTAGGAAACCCTCCCTAAAATCATCCGGCCTAGTGCGAGACACTGAGCCCAGGTTTTTCTGATTGTAAACCACTCCTGTGCAAGACCCAACCCATTTTAAAAAAATTGCCAAAGTCTAGATTCTGGAAAATAGGACTTTGGTCGATATGGGCCAATATGGTGGAGAAGATTTTACTACTTCCTTTTCCATCTCCCAGCATTCCTATACTTCTGGCCTCAAATCCACTGAACATGGAACTGAGAAGCATCCTCCAGGCCAAGAAAGTCAAGGCTTAAACACTAAGATGAAGCACAAAGTAAGAGTGGATGACTGAGAATGATAAAACGTTGGCACCGTGGCCTGCCATTCTCTGTATCCTCATCAACATCACATGTCACAAGGCCAGGTCTGAAGTTAGACTGATGATGTCACGAGAGTCTCTTAAAGGGCTCATCACTCAAATCCACTTGTCATATATTATTAAGCAGATCTATAATACATGTAACATTTCCCACTGAATTTCTATTCCTTCCTTTCCATGACTAGGGAAAGAAAAATAGTGTGAAGATGACTTTTTCCCATCTTTACTGCCTTTCATTGAAACATAACTTCGTCTCAGATTATTTCCCCAAATGGTCATTCGGGCTTTGATTTCATTAATATAGATGAACTTACAGTTTAATAATTATCATTTAACTAATGCATATTCTATATAGACAAGTAAATGGATTCCCCTCATCTTTTCTTCTGGAGTCCACAGAGAAAGGGGAGTCTACAACCTTATCTTGTCTTCCCCCCCACTTTTATCCTCCACATTATTTCTCGAGACTTTGAGGGTTGTATCAATTATGTTAGAAACTTTCCACGTTATCACTTCTCTAGAGATAATGAAAGTCCTTCCAAAACTCTGAAGTCCTTGCAGTCTGAATCTGAATCTCATTAGAAGCAGCCATCTCAAGGATGTAAATTCTCCAGGTGAAGGGCTGTTGAAGGCAGAGAGAGCAAGAGACCCACGGTGGCTAGTCCAATGGAAGGACTTGTAAGGAGTTAAAAGCAACCCAGATTGACTGAAAGGCAAAGTCTTGCCTGAGGCAAGCCACATTCTGAACTTGAACACGGCACTCAACAAACTGGTACAAGTGCAGGCCTTGAATGCAGGGCCAGCATTGCAGGCGTGTGGCCTGAGGATTCATCCCATAGAACCCTGTATGTGGACGTCCATGTCACCCTCACTCAATTGCCTGTCCATTTCCAACAAGGAGCCTAGCTTTGGGTCTTGTATACTGGTGGTAACTCAAGTGATCAGACTTGCTTGGGTATGAAAGCCAGCTCTGGCACTGACCAGGTAGGCAGTGAGGTGGAAGCCCATAGGCCTATTTTAGGTTTCTATAAGTTGGAAGTCATTGTCCTTCCTCCAAAGACACCCTAATGAGGATTAAATGAGATTATGAATCATTACTGCATCATACAGTCCTTGTTGCCTAGTAAGCACCTATTAAATATTCACTGTTCTTAACCAAGAGGGTATATATCACAAGCACCTAAAGATTTGTTGTTTGACTTAATGGATGGAGGTTAGGATATGCATTGGGTTTGAATGAATTCCTTATGTGATACTAATATATACTCCAGGTTAAGAAAAAGCAGGCTATGGTTTTCAGAGATCCAGCTTAAAAGAACTTAATAGAAAAGGGCAGTAGAAAAAAAAAAAAACAGGGAGGAATTGATGGACTACTACGAATCCTTAGCATAATAAAAAGCCTGTTAAAGAGGAAAGAGGTCATCATTTTATAGCACTTGGGATGACACAGATAGTGCTGAAATGCACTATGGGAACACATCCCATTACCAAGGTTTCTATAAAATTTTCTGCTATTCATTTGTTCTGACAAGTACACCCAGAGGAACAGAGGCCATGGAGGAGAACAGCCAGGGTCAAGGCCAAGGTTAGGGACCGAGTTTGGATTTATTTTCCCCTTAATGACCCTAATACTATACAGGGTTCCTGAAAAGATAGCGTGCCAGAGGGACTAATATTGAATTATGTTTATTCTTCCAAGATTCTAGGCTTTGACATTCTTCTGATGAAAAACCTGAAGCCTATGCTACTTGAAGTAAACGCAAATCCCAGCATGAGAATTGAACATGAGCACGAAGTAAGTATTTGGAGCACCTCATTGATTATATTGCTAGAAATCCAAGTGTGCCTGCTCTCGAGGTATCCATGCTAAGATTCAACATTCTCAAATTTTTACAGCCAACTTTTCTTTAAGTCAAATAATTTTAGTTGATCTGTTGAGCTCTGAACAGAGTTATTAATATAAGACCTTTCCGACCTATGATAATTTCCCAGCATGCTGTTCTTCCCATTTTTAAGGTCTGGAAACTTAGAAGCAGCTGAGCCTTTCCATCAGCTTTGACATGAACTAATTAGTTAGCCTCAGGAGATGAACTAATTGAAATTCTATGAATATGATTTAGCCATGTCGACATACTTGAATCACTAAGATAAATAGTACATTTAACAGGGATTATATTTTCCCCTACTCCATCCCAAAAAGAATGCTCAAAAAAAAAAACTGTAAGGAAATAAACCACCCAATTTGTCATAGGTTTCAGAATGATTCCCTGGATTCTTTTGCTTTTCTTATCCCATTTCTGTATTTATGAATTTTTTGTGTGTACATGTGTGTGTGTGTATATGTGTGATTTGTGTGTGTGTGTGTGTGTGTGTGTGTGTGTGTGTGTGTGTATTGGGGCTTGAATTCAAGGCCTGAGTGCTGTCCCTTAGGTTTTTTGCTTAAGGATAAGGTCTACTACTTGAGCTTTTTGGTGGTTATTTGGAGCTAAGAATCTCACAGACTTTCCTACCCAGGCTGGCTTTGAACCGTGATCCTCAGATCTCAGCCTCCTGAGTAGCAGGGGCTACAGACATGAGCCACTGTCACCCAGCTTGTAGTTCCAATTTTGATAATCCCCAAACATGGTGCTGCTATTTTTCCTTCATGTATTTTGTGAATTCCCAAGAGGAAATGAATAGTGTTCAGGCAGCATTTAAAAACCCGCTTCTATAGACCAGCACAGACAAAAAGTGATGCTGCCACCACTTGAACTAGTTGGAGGTGGCCCATTGATTGCTATGGCCTGACTATAACACAGAGCCCTTACCCATTCAAGCTTTCTCCAGGGGTGTTTGAAAATGTCCCCAGCCTGGTGGATGAAGAGGTGAAAGTGGCTGTCATCAGAGACACTCTGCGCCTCATGGACCCACTGAAGAAGAAAAGAGAGACCCAGTGAGTATTTTTTTTTTACATCATTCATTGCTGTCAACTTGACTTATTTTAAGCAGGTGAGTTCAATTTCTCAGAATCTATCGACATGTAAGATTGACTCAAAATCGGGAGTTAATCTGACAGTTGGGGTTCCGTGACAAATTCTTGCACTGATCATTTCCCAAATCTGGTGTCTTCTGAGCTTCCAGCCTGCTCTCTGCTTGTCCACTCCTGGTCACATGATGCTTCTCTTTGAAATCGGCAAGCAAGGAAGCGTAAAGGAAAATGCAAGCAGCCACAGATGGCTGGCCATACAAAGAATTGCCTCCATTTTATTTTCTTTAGGATATTTATGCTCTTGCAGTAGAAGCTTTTCATTTCAATGTTTGCAGCGCCAAGTGCAATGATCTTCTAACATCTCTCGTCATATATACAGCAGTTAACAATTCTCCATCCCTAGCCACCCAGTGGGGACATAGGGATATTGGCATGCACGTGTCCCTGCCTGTCTCTCCACTGACTTACCCCAGAAATGGATGACATTTCACTTGGCTATTTTGTTTGTTCCTATTTTTTTTTTTTTTACCAAGTTCTAGGCTCTTATAAAGTAAGGGTTTAGTAAATATCATCTGCTTATGTTTCAAGCAGAGCCACCAAAGACAGGCATTTCAAATAGTACTTCTCATACTCCCTGACAAATCAGATTGACCCAAATGCACTCAGACATTTAAGCACTTGCCAGCTAGGGCTCAAGACTGGGCGGAATGCTAACTTCCCCAAGTAAGTGATGTGTTCAGCTCATCTGTGAAGGCTTCTCACCAATGGGATTCAAGCTCAAATACTAGTACACTCCCTTTACAGGAGTGCTGCTCACACTTGGCAATGCCATCATAGTAGAACCACCTGTGGAGCTTTCAAAACTCCCAGTACCAGCCAGGTGACGGTGGCTCACACCTGTAATCCTAACGACTCAGGGGGGTGAGATCTGAGGATCTCAGTTCAAAGCCAGCCCAGGCAGGAAAGTCTGTGAGACTCTTATCTCCAATGAACCACCAGAAAACCGGAAGTGGTGCTGTGGTTCAAACGGTAGAGTACTTGCCTTAACATGAAGAGCACAGGGACAGAGCCCAGGACCCTGAGTTCAAGGCCCATGACTGACCAAAAATAAAAAAAGTCCCAGTACCAGGCCTCTGCTTTTAAAGAGGTTGATTTGAATTAGCCTGAGCTAGAAGTAGCTGCAGACATTTTTAGGCTTCTTGAACGCTCGTATTGTGCAGCCAAGGCCGAGCACCATTGCCTTTGCAGGATTTCTCATCTCCTCAGGTGGGTTGGGTGGCACCTGTTCAACTGAGTTCTCCCCTACAGTGCTGAGGCACAGGTGGCCCAATATTGGCTTGATCCTATCAAGAATGTCCACCTGCGGTATGTGTGGACCTGTCCTGCAGGCCGGCTTCACAAGGATAGGTGCTTCAAAGTGGCAATGTGCCAGGGCTACAAAGCCTCTGAACCAAATAAGATGTAGGCAAATAATGGATCCACTAGTAAAAGCATGCAGCTGTTTTCTTTATCTCTCAGGAAAAGTTGTGCTTACAATGTAATTTGTTTAGATTAACCAAAATAAATCTCATTCCTTAGAAAACTCTATCCTGTAATAGTGACTGATCTCATCAGCAGAGATGAGGTACCGGGGGATGGTCTAAACTGTATAGAGACATGAGTAGCTTTTGGTAACAGCATGGCATGGGAGTTCAGTCTATTTTAGGATGGCTGCGACCTCTGGGAAGAAGCGCATAATCTATTAAGAAGGTCATGACCCAGGGGAAGAACTTCATAACATATTAAGAAAGGTCAGACCTTCTTAATCTCTGAATAGAATGAATAGATGGAAAGGTTCCACTGTATTTCACATTGAACAGCATTGAAACAAACTTTGCTTTCTTTTTCTTGTTCTAGTTGTTTTCTTCCCCTCACCCCCAACACCTGTACAGTCCATAGGAGCTTCAGATTTGAAATTTAATAGTAATGGGGAAGAGAACCATTGATTGGGAAGGATGAAAAAGGCATTTTATAACTTATCAAGTCATAAGTAGCAGCATCTCATTTTTAATTTAAAAAGCATTGATTTTTTTATTGATATCTTGGAACAGTTAGAACTTCAAGAACCTGACTTCAATTCTAATATAGAAAGCGTTTCATCTCACTCTTTTCCTATCTACAGTGTAAGGGTGGGTGTTAATAGCTAACTGCCGCTTACGGATATTCTTCCTTAATTTCACTGTTTAATTTTATTTTGTAAGCGAGCAATGAATATCTATGGAAGCACATTGTAATCTTTAAAGGGCATCTAGATATAAGAAATGCTTGTTTTCCTTTTCAGAAGTTTACCATGCAGAAAAGACAAGCTCTTTGTCTAGAAATATGTCAGGATAACTTGTAATAGCACTTGATTTACGTCACCAGAAAACACACAGTTCCTAGTGCTGAATCCTGGCAGTCTATTTCTGAGACCATCAGCCCAGCTGTATTAACTATAGTTTATTCTCCCCCCTCTTCTTCCTTCCTCTCTTTTTCTCCCTTTCTTCCTCTTTTCTCCCTCTCCCCCTCTCCTCTTCTCCTTATTCCTCTCTTCCCTTCCCTCCCTTCCTTTCCTTTCCTTTCCTCTAACAAGGTCTGACCTATGTGAACCAGGTTAGCCTTGATTTATGATCCTCCTTTCTCAACACTGAGTGCTGGGATTACAGACATGCCCCACCCCATCCAGCTTTAGAAGCAATGTCTTGTGTTTGCATAGTCTCTGACCTGAACCTTTGGGGAGAAAATGGAATCTGTCACCTTCCCCTTCAATTTATTTGCATAAATCCTTTCTTGGAGGCTCTTTATCATGAAGACTATTGAGGTGGGGCTTCAGTTGCCCCCTACATGCTGAAGAAGAAGGCAGGTAACCTGAGCTCCTCAGGTCCGTGGCTGCTCCAGAAAGGTGCAGAGGAAATGGAAGGATGCCAGACTGGACACCAGCCAGGGCTGGGTGAAGTCCTTCATCTGGGACCATCATGTTAAGAGCTTGGCTAAGTCCATTTGTTCTCTGATCTGGTCTGTAAAGTGGAAATGGAGATGTCTCTGTGGTTGAGTTGTCATGGTATTGCCATGAAATGACAGGTAAGAAAGCCCTGTGAGCCATTTTACTGGTATTGACATCCTGAATGTAGATATTTCTGACAACTTTTCTCCTTTCTTAGGAATCTTGGCACTTCAGGACCCCCAAGTAATATCATGGAAGGTAGAGGTAGGCTAGGGAGCTCTGAGGGGATTTTATTGATATCACGTTGTCTGTCTGTGTCTAAGAGCTTGGTTATAGTCTGTTTACCTCTTATTCAGAAACTGTTTCACCTCTGTTCAGAAACTGACTTAACATGTTCATATAACTACTTATATGATTCATATGTACATAGGAGTCATATATGTATATATGGCCCAGAAGCCTCTTTTCCCTCAGTAACATTGCATAGTATTCTTGCTATGTTGTTTACCTTATAACAACTGAAAGAGATGAGTCAGCTGCCAGAACAGTTGTGGTCCTAATCAGAGATGCCTGTCCACTAAATATTTTACTGAGAACTCTAGCTTCACTTCTGACCTTGACTCCAAATGTCTCTCTGCAATTCTGCACCATGCTTAGAACCAGTAGATGAATCCTCTAGCTTCTATGTAGAATCTAGAATGAAGATGAAACATTCTAAGAGAATGAAGAACAATCTCCTAAGAGCTCTCAGTTTCATGGCTTGATTGTATGCCCAACCAAGGTGTCTTTTTACAATCTTAGAAGTTCTCTGAACTGGGTGGGGACTTATTTCAAGTGCTAAAGTATGTGCCTAGCAAGGATGAGAGTCTGTGTTCAAATTCCAGTACCACTAAGCTGCTTGGGAAGCAGCAATCAAGAAGATTGAGGTCAGCTTGGGCACAAAATAAGACCCATCTCACCAAATGAAAGCTGGCTCAGTGGCACTTGCCTATCATTCCAGCTATGTGGGAAGCATAAATAGGAGGGTCATGATGTAGGCCCACCCAGGCAAAAAGTGAGACCCTGTTCAAAAAAAATAATAAAACCAAATGGGCTGGAGGTATGGATCAGTAGTAGAGTGCACAGCTAGCAATTAGAAGATACTGGGGGGGGGCTCAAAAAAAAAAGAAATCCCTCTAAGCTTAGCCCCCCTACTTGATGGGGTCATGTGTCTTACTGAGATTCCCTCAATGATAGTTGTCTTCATAGACAACTATAGTTCACGAAGATGGATGAGAAGATGCATTCCAGTCTACACTAAAGCATGCCCTCACCTATAAAGGTCTTTACCTTTCTGACAGACCCATCTTTCTTCTGGAAACCGACTCTCTTCTGGAAACAGACTCTTGCCAAAGAATCATCTGATTATTGTGTTGAATGGCCCATCCTTGTGTGCATAGCTGACCTTTGGTTGAAATTCTAAGATAAATCCCCTGATACCAAAGGATTCCTTTGTGGCCAGACTCTATAGATCAGTTCAGAACACCTCAAGCACCTTGAAGATTTCACATAAATAAGTTTGGGTCACAGAGAGGTGGCTCTTTTCATATTCATTTGCATTTCATTTGCATTATGTGTGGCTTACAAAAATAAGAACTCATTCATTTTGAGTATTTATTGAGCACTTACTGTGTTCCAAGGGAAACCCACAAAAGCAAATTAACTCACAGGCCATAAGAGGAGGTAAGACCCACACATGAGTATATATAAGGTGACAAGTGCTATGTACTATAAACACAAAGACAAATTGTCAAGGGAGGAAAGTGTAGGAAGAGATTATTTCCTGATGTGAAGCATTTTTTTTTAACTGAAGAAAGGTGGCAGTACAGCTGGGGTTTAAAGGACAAGTAGGATGTGCTGGAAGAAGCAAAAGCCACAAGCTCTGTGCAGAACCTGGAGTGTTCCCATAGGCTGGAGAGACGGGTGTATGAAGTGGATTGGTAGAGAGGAATGTGGGAGTTGG